GTTGTATTAGCTCACTTGTGAGAATTTAATTTATGTAGGTTTTTTTTGAAACTTAATTTGGTGAAGCTGATTTAAGTAAACTTTAATTTTAGTTACCCTTAAATAATGGATTCAATACTGCGATTCTATTAGGAACAGAAGTTATGTAAACGGTTTTCTACACATTGCAAACAAATTGCACACTTTTGCGGTTTCTGTTGGGTCGCGTAACAGCTCTGTATGTACACACATGTATACACACTTAGCTAAATAAGTACTCCCGAGAAAGATGATTTCGCGATAATCGAAACTTCTTGTCTCATTGACCCAAATGCACAAAATTGAGCTTTAAGCGCAAACAAAGGGTCTAATGCAAAAAAGTGAGCTTAAGCTCAAAAGTTTGTTCAGAAGATTGAGTCAGCGCTTAATCATACATACATACATACATGCTATGCATGAGGTCTATTATGACCTGTATCGCTTGATAAGACTGAATTAGTAAGTATATGTACATATATACAAAGCCCGAGGCAGATCCATAATTAAATTTTCTACTTTTTTCGAACATGAGTAATCTGGTTGTCGCAACTGAGGGGAATGGAGAATGAAAATACATACATATATTTTATGGCATGCGTTATAAAAAATCATGTTAGGAAACAACTACGCTCTGTGCGTGCACACATTGAAAATATTTAATAACTTTATTCCGGTATAAGCTATTAATTGTCTAAAAATTAGTTAGAGAAAAAATCAACTAAACATAAATACATATAATAAGCATAATTATTGCAAAATATTTGAATCAATGTATGTACTAGCATCCCGGCCTTTTTTAGGGCCCGAAAATCCCGGGATTATTTGCCGAGAATGTCGGGATTTTCGGGATTTGTAATTTGCACTGATGACAATAATCGGAATTCCTTTTCTTGGCCAGTAATGGCTATATTTCTTTTATTTAATAATTAATATTTTTTTATAAATGTCTAGCTTATTATACATACATGTAACACCGTGCGATAGTAAATTTTACACACAAAAATTGCGTTTTTAGTTTTTCACTCTGACGTCAGTAATTCAAAAATGATTTAAATAATTCAGTGAAATGTGCTGAGAGAAGAAGTATGGGTATCAAATTAAAGAGGAAATTCTGTAGAATTTAAAAAGATTAAATTTTTTGGTGCATAAGGACTGGTAAGTATTGAAAATGTTCCGTTAAAATTTTATCCATGAAATTTCGCAATATTTCATTTTTGAAAAAATTATATGTTAAGGGCTTATATAAACTCGATAACATCCTCGAATTTCGTTCCTCTAACTTTGTCAGCTTTAAAATTACCTATTCGTCCTTGTGAATCCAAAAAATTTTAATTTTTTTTTAGTTCTAAAGAAATTTCCTCTCGATTGCTAACCTTATTTTTATTCTACATTGCATTGAATTTTTTAAATAATTTTTGGAATTAATCATATCTTTGAAATTACAAAGTCCTTTAAAATAAATCCTGACGTCAGAGAGAAATAATAAAAACGCATTTTTAAATAAAAAAGTAGGTTTCAAACTCATTTATTTATTATTTATTTTTTGATAGGAGAGCTTCTCAAACAATATAGAAGCAATTTTTTCGATTTAAGTTGTTGAAAAGTAATGGATTGTGATAACGACATCCCGAAAATCCCGGGATAGTAAAAAGCGAAAAAATTACCATCCCCAGGAAGTACGTACTTATTAACAAGGGCAAAATGTGTCGTGCCAGACAGTGGCGGATTTATCGTACAGGCAACATAGGCTGAAGCCTAGGGCGGCAGAATTAAGGGGCGGCAAAATTTAAGACAGCTAAATTAAAAGAAAAAAATTTATTTGGATTCAGCTGCACTTGAAATTGTGTTTGTGTCTGTAAAATATTATTAATGATACATCTCATTCAATACAATTCAAAATTAGAATTACGCTGCGAATTTTTCCTTAGTATAGCAGTCGTTGAAATTTCCATTTAACTTTCATTCACGCGGCTTAGGAACCCGACGGCGCGCCTGCGCGTGACGCAAAGAAACAGCCGACACGCTGCCCCGAGAACGAGAATCATCTAAAAGGTTACCACACTTGACAACACTGCCGAAAAACGAGCGTGCATT